AGGGAGCAGGAAGTGGGGAGGCGGGCTCTAACTGTGACTGTGACGGGACAGGCGGTGGACACTCTACAGGAGGAGAAAGACCAAGAACCTGCTGCAGGTTCGGAACGAAGTACGGCCGAGGCCGCGCGGCAACTCCAGACACAGCAGGGACAACACCAGCACCCTCAGCGGCAGCACCAGCGCCAACAGCACCTCCAGCTGCAGGACCTCCAACAGCACCAGCAGTACCCGCAGCAGGACCACCGCCAGGAAGGACAGCAGCAGTCTCAGCACCAACACCCTCAGTAGCACCAGCGCCAGGCGGACCCGAAGGCCCAGGAGCCCCGGGACCGGCGGCACAATTACCCTCAGCGGCCGAAGAAGCTCCAGCTCCAGCAATACGCCTCCAGCGGCGAGCAAACCACTCGCGCAGCTCCTGTGGAGAGAGTGGCTCCCGCCGAGACAAAGCACCCGGAGAGCCTCCAGGCCCCGCACCGCCAGACGCCAGAAGGGGAGGTCCAGTGGTTGCAGGCTCCGCAACTCCAGGCTCAGCAGAACCCCCTGGCTCAGCAGCTCCTGACGTAGCACCCCCAGGCTCAGCACCCCCAATCGCAGCACCCCCAGGCTCAGCACCCCCAGACTCAGCACTCCCAGTCGCAGTACCCCCAGGCTCAGCACCCCCAGGCTCAGCGCCCACGCGCGCAGCACCCCCAGAGTCAGCACCCCCACGCTCAGCACCCGCAGCAGTACCAGAGTCACCAGCAACCTCAACCGGCTCGACTGCGTCTACCTGGGACACACCTGAAGGGGCAAGACCCTGAGGGGGAAGGGGGTCTACCTGGGGGGGACCTGGCACAAGGAAGTGCGGTGGCAGGGGGAGGGAAGGAGTGCGGTAGGGGAAGAGGCGGTAGAAGGGGACTGACTCGTCGAACGTGACGTCCTGGGAGGACATAACACGACGAGAGGAGGGGTGGTAGAACTGCCACCCTGGGGCGTCAGAGGGGAAGCCTAGGAAGACACAGGGAGCAGCACGAGGGGACAGCTTGTCCGCAGACAAGTCGCGGACAAACGCCCGAGATCCCCAGACACGGAATGCAGACGCATCGCCAACCTTCCCCGTCCACAGCAGAGCTGGGGAGGTCTCCGGCCGTGAGACCCTGGGGTGAAGGTTGATCTGATGCGCCGCGTACTGAACCGCAAACGGCCACAGAAAATGGGGGGCAGCCGCATGCATCATGGACGTACGAGCGACGTCCATGACCATGCCAATGCGGCCCTCAGCAATCCCATTTTGCTGTGGAGAGTCCGGAAGCGTAAAGGTCTGGCGGATGCCTCGTGCACGACAGTAGGCTCGCAGAAGGCCAGAGGAGAACTCTCCACCTCGGTCAGAGTGCAGACGCAGGACAGGAAAGTCCGAGCCGAAGCTCCTCCTGAGCTGGAGACGAGCTGCGCGGATCCAGTCGATCAACACCTCAGTGACATCACCCTTGCTGCGCAAGGGGAAGACTGTGGTGTAATGCGAGTAGTCGTCAACCACCAGCAGGAAGTAGCGCTCGTGACCCTGTCCACGGACGCGGGCCGGGCCCCACACGTCCATGTGAAGCGTCTGCAGAGGAGCCTCTGTCGGGGGAAACTGGGAGGAGTGAGGGGCAGCCCGGAGCCGCCCCTCGACACAGGGGACACAGGAAGGTCCTGGCCCCGAAGGAAGGGGAGGGAGAGACCGGGGGAGACCAGAGACAAGGACACGGGAAGCCATGCCCCGAAGATGAGGCAAGGAGGGGTGGCCAAGACGGTGGTGCCACAGGAGAGTCTCGTGAGACAGGAGGCGACACGAGCAGGGGGCAGACTCAGGACCAGACCTGGACGCAGCAGCAAACACCTGACCCGACGCAGCTACCTGGCCAGACGCAGGGACAGGAGGAGACTCAGTGGTCAGGGTGTAGAGACTCGACCCCGGCCGACGCGAAAACGTGGCCAGGTGTCGGCCTGTGCGGGCGTCCGAGTAGTGGGTCACCCGCTGACTCGCAGGAGTAAACTGGTGAACCCCCCCATCCTGCAGGTCAGCACCACTCACCAAGTTCGTCGAGAACGAGGGGAGGTACAGACCAGACAGGGTGCCCGAGGGGGCAGCCGGACACGGGAGGACAGTGGAGAAGTGAGAAAGGACAGGGCCCCCAGAGGGGTCAGCCAGGGAGACTGCAACCGGCCGACCAAGCGGCGTGAGTGTGGTGCGGTCTCGAAAGAAGGAGCGAGAAGCCCCTGAGTCAAGTGTGAAGGTGAGGGAGGCCGAAGCCGACGCAGTACCTGAGAGCGCAGCCTCACCAGTACCTGAGAGCGCAGACGCACTGGCACCTAGAGCAGCAGCCTCACAAGCACCTAGCGCAGCAGTACCAATGCTCGGGTCGGGCGGGAAACACCGGTAACAGTCACCCTCATCACTAATAGTCACAGCATACATGGCAGCAAGGATAGCATCAAAGTCAAGATCAAAGATAGCTACGCCAGCCCTAGACAGCTCTCCCCAGCGGGGAATCTCACTAGCCTCGGGGAACTGCTGACGCCAAGCGTCCGTCAGGCGGCCAAAGCAGCGCTGGGTGGGGTGGGCACCCCCACACTGCTCACCCGCGCGGTCGCCGGAACGAAGGACGTAGGTGCACGGACCAAAACCCCCACCACGCTGACGCTGCGCGTACCACTCACGGAGCTGCTGAGGCGGGGGGATGTCCCGAGAACGCTGCTGCTGCTGCTGGCGCTGACCACCACCAGAGCCGCTCCGCTGCGGGGCACCACCCCGACCAGCTCCACCCCCTCCGCCACCGCCGCCTCCACCTCCGCCACCACCGCCGCCTCCGCTCCCACCGCTGCCGCCGCCACCGCCTCCGCCTCCGCTGCCGCCACCACCACCACCACCCCCGCCACCACTCCCACCGCCACCCCCACTCCCTCCGCTGCCTCCACCGCCACCTCCACCGCCCCCGCCAGCTCCACCCGCGCCCTTGCCCCCCTTGCCCTTGCCAGGTCGGCGTCTCCCGCTAGGGGCAGACGCCGCGCCGACCGACTCAAGACCAAGCAGGTCGGCAGCAGCAGCAGAGGCAACAGAGGGCAGCAGGGGGGAAGGAGAACACCCCTCAAAGATGGGAGTGCGAGGGTCACCCCGAGAGGCTCCTACAGCGACGATGCTCTTCTCCGCCGCCAGGAGGGCCTTCTCGAGGAGGTCAACAGTGAGAGTGGTGGGACAGACTGAGAGAAAGTGGTCCCTGACTACGCGAAGGGAGTCAGGGAGGCGTGTGACTATGTAATAGAGAGTGATGTACATGGGGGGAGGGTTCTTGGCGCAGAACTCAGCAGGAAGTGCGGCGCGGTAGCGAGTGTCACTAGTGCGGAGGTGCGTAATGAGGTCGGCGACTGTGGGAAAGGCAGCAAGGTCAGGAAAGAGGTACGGTAGCATGAGGCGGCTCAGTGCAACAGTGGCAGGAGAAGAGTAGCGCGCAACTACAGCGTCGTACAAGGTCTGAGCACTCTTGTACTGACTAAAGTGCGCGCGCTCAGTGGTAGGCAGGTGGCGACGCACAGCAAGACGTGCAGCAGCATCGCGGGTGGCCCACTGAGAGCGAACAGTGGGGTCAGCGTCAGTAGCAGGGGCAGGAGAGGCGCCAGAGGTGAGGTCAAAGAGAGAAAGACCGGCCGCCCAATCGCACTGTAAAAACAGCTGCAGGTCGTCGACCCAGACCTCAAAGTCAATGGCTCGACCCTCAGCGTCAAAAGTGAGGACACTAGGGGTAGCCATGACGACGATAGACTAGCAGTGCAAGCAGTAGGGGAAGGGCACGCAGTGACAGTGGGGCTGCGCTCACTGGACAGGGCAGGTCGGGCGGCTCGGTAGTTGGGCGGCTCGGCTGCTGGGCGGCTCGGCGGCTGGGCGGCTCTGCGGCTCGGCGCTCGGCTGCTGGGCGGCTCGGCGGCTGGGCGGCTGGGCGGCTCGGCGCTCGGCTGCTGGGCGGCTCGGCTGCTGGGCGGCTCGGCTGCTGGGCGGCTCGGTTGCACAGCGGCTCGGCTGCTGGGCGGCCGGGCGGCTCTGCAGCTGGGCGGCCCGGCTCCTCTGGTACTCGGTGGCGCGGCGGTCGGCTTCTCGGGTGCACGCTGCTCAGGAGAGTGGCAGGGCCGCAGCAGACGGGTGGCGGGGCCGCTAAAGCAAGGCGGCGGGGCCGCGAAGTGTAGGGCGGCGGGGCCACTGAAGCAGGGCGGCGAGGCCGCTAAAGCAGGGCGACGGGGCCGCTAAGGAAGGGCGGCGGGGCCGCTAAAGCAGGGCAGCGGGGCCGCGAAATGAAGGGCGGCAGGGCCGAGAAAGCAGGGCGGCGGGGCCGCGAAGTGTAGGGCGACGGGGCCGCTAAAGCAGGGCGGCGGGGCCGCGAGGTGTAGGGCGGCGGGGCCGCTAGGTGTAGGGCGGCGGGGCCGCTAAAGCAGGGCGGCGGGGCCGGTAAAGCAGGGCGGCGGGGCCGGTAAAGCAGGGCGGCGAGGCCGCGAATCAGGGGCGGCGGGGCCGCGACAGTAGGGCGGCAGGGCCGCTAAGGGAGGGAAGGCCGCTAGGGCGGCTCGTCGAGTTAACAGCCCGAGGCGCGACTCGGGATGAGCGCGCTTCGGGCAGTAAAAAAAAGTCGAAGTGGTGGGCCCTAGGCGCAGTTCCCACAGGAGAACCTGCTCGATACCATGAGAAATGTTGAACGAGAATGGTGATGACTAAGTGAAAGTTGGGTACAAATACAAACCCTAGAAAGCTGTACCCCATATGTGCTACCCCACTATAGCCAACAATAGCTATGTCATATATATCTGACAAAAATGGCCATATCAGCATCTTCGACGCCACGCTGGCAGTTGCTTCTTTGGTCAAGTCGCTGGTTTTGTCGCCACACTTCTAGCTACCCCCTCGTCATCTCCCCCAGTCATTTTTACAAGCAGCGCAGGTCCTACCTCGTCATTCGTAACTCGAAATTTTACTTCGACTAGCTCTAAGTTTGTGACTACAGTCTCTTTAGGTCCCAAGTTTGTGACTGGCAGTCTCGCTGGTATGGCAACGGCAAGTTTTGTCGGGTGACGGGAAAGGGGGGGGGGGGGGCGGTGCACGTGCTCCCGGTGCGCCGCGGCTGGCGACCGGGCATGGCCAAGGCGGGGCCGGGGCCGCAAGTGGCGGCGACAGTGCCGCTGGCGGCGACGACGGGGCCGCTGGCGGCGGCGACGCGGCCGATAGGAGCGGCGACGGGGCCGCTAGGGTCGGCGACGGGGCCGCTGGCGGCGGCGACTGGGCCGATAGGAGCGGCGACGGGGCCACTAGGGTCGGCAACGGGGCCGCTGGCGGCTTCGACGGGGCCGATAGGGGCGGCGACGGGGCCGCGAAGGGGCCGCGAGGGGCCTGGAAGGGCGGCGACGTGAGAAGAACTGAACGAGGAATGAATGAACTATGAGTGAAGTGAGTACAAATAGCAAACCCTACTTGGGTTGTACCCCCTATGGGATACCCCACTATAGCCTACACAACAGCATAAGCTATATATGTTCTGACACACCCCCATAGGCAAAGTGGGGGAGAACAAGGGGTCACAAGACCAGTCAAGCAAAGCAAAGCAAAGCTCAGGGTGGATCACAAAGTCACCACACAGTCCGAGCACAAGGGCAAGGCCACAAGGCCAGTTCACATGCAGGAGTACACACACATATATATATAAAGCTAGACAAGTAAGAGCAGGTATATATATGTGACAGTACAAGTAAGGTCAAGAGGAGAGCAAGTGAGGCAAGACAGGTACAAGACCCAGCTGGGTGCAGAAGCGCTGATGGTCACAAGGCGCGAGTGCCTTGGTGAACACATCAGCAGTGTTGGCCTCAGAGGCCACGTACGCAAGCCGCAACTGTCCACGCTGCTGTAGCTCACGAGCAAGGAAGTAGCGAAGAGCAATATGCTTCGTTCTGTGCTCCAGACGCTGCTCTCGACACAAGGCCAGCATGGCCTTGTTGTCTACGTACAGCACTGGAGGAGAACGAGGCGGCTCTCCAAGGTCAGTCAGCAGGTAGGTGAGCCAGCGAAGCTCCTGTGCAGCCATGGCCCCTGCGTAGATCTCAGCCTCACAACTGGAGCTGAGAACCGAAGACGAGCGAGTAGCCCGCCACGAGACAGAGCCGGAACCAAGGCTGAAAGTGTAACCCTGTGACGACCGCTGCGTAGCCTGGTCGTCAGCCCGAA